CCCGGCCTTGCAGATGACGGAGCATCGGTTCATCGCGCCCACCTCGTTCCCCGCTCCTCGATGGCTAACTCCCATGGTGGCGGCGGCAGGAGGCCCTGCGATGGCCGACTCCCATGGTGGCCGCGGCCCGTCCCACTTGCGCCGGCGGCTCCCTGGTGCTGGGCGTGGAGGAGAGAGGGGGATAGGAGTCGGCGCGTGGGGGAGAGGCAGGGGCGGCCCGTCGCCCTGCGCCTGTAGGTGCTCGGCCAGCCCCGCACGACCCCCCCCCCCACCCCCACCGGCGGCGGTGGCGGCTCTCTGATGCTGGGCGTGGGGAGAGGAGTCGGCGCGTGGGATCCAGATCTAGGTTCGGCGGTCATTTGAGCCAAGAAAAGACAGAAAAATAAAAAAGACCGAGGATCCATGAATTGAACCGTGGCTGCAAGGCGGGAGTCGCGCGAGGGGTGAGCGTGACTCCATCGCAACGCGTGGGGTGGAGGGCGGGGCTTCTCAAATCAAACATGGGCCGTTGGAAGCGTTTCGGTGTTTCATTAGCGCTTAATTTCAATGGAAACGAATTCTCGCGTGTATTTTTCTAGGTGTATAATGGTCAGAGGCTCTCAGCGGGAACTTTTTCTCAGTGAGACCTAGTGTAATTTTGATTGGTCCATTATAGTAGATGTCAGTATTTAGGATGTAGGAGCATGTAACATGTATAGTTGCAAGAGTGTGCATACAATATACTTATACAGTACATAATACTCCAAAAAGAGTAGTAGTGTAGTACTACTGGAAAGAGACTATCAGTCAATACTGCTCCTAGTAGTGATAAGAAAATGTTTGTCACAGAAATCAATCCATTTCATTTCAATCAACTGGCGTGACAATGAGGAGGAAGAGGAGGAACTCAACACTCACCAAAGTTTCCACAGTGTGGGTGTGGCCAAGAGTTTCTGTGTGGAGCCTGTCCTGTCCTGCCTCTGAATCTGAATGCCCTCTCTGCCTGACGAGTCATGAGTGTTGAGCCTTTCAAAGTCTGTGCCCGTGGCGTCCAGAAAGATGGTTTTGGATCCTTGCTTGCTGCTCCTGACTTCCTCCTTGTTTAGTTGTTTATTACTAATCTCTTTACCTTTAGTGTATATCTGCAGCAGAGTTCATTTCTTCACTTTTGTTAACTGCCATTTCTAGCTTCATGATGCTACTAGCAGTTAACAAAAGTGCCATTATCTCTTCTGGACGTATCAGCAGGTTTAGCTCCAATTGAGTGAGTAGTACTCATGGCTTGATGAGTTGTGCATTTTTCAGACCGGTATTGAGGAACCAATATTTCAAACATTCCCTAAACGATGGTGATATATCATGAAAATAAAAACACGGTATTATCTGTACCATTCTTTTTATTTTTCAAATCCAAGAACAGAATCACACACAGGGTGGTGCACTGGTGTTGTAATGGCGAGTAGAGCCGGCCCAGGGGCCCACGTGGTACTGTAGCGACACGGTGCTGTAACGCGTGATTATATTAGATTAGATTGTTTGATTTGTTAGGAAAGAGATATGTGGTTTGGTTTGTTAGAAAAGATATATGTTAGATTGATTTGGTTAGAATATTTTTTTAGGGGTCAAGTCAGTCATCTCTATAAAAAGAGAACCGTCTATCAGTTATAGACAAATAAGAAGCAACAATGCCTATTCGCTGGTTGGTGCTGGTGCTGGTGCTGATTTAGACTGGCTGGTTGAAAGCTCTAGTTTGGTTTTGGTAAATTGATGAAACCCTAAGTGCTAACCTAGTTCATCAAGTGATCATGAGATAGGTAGCACACTTCAAGTAGAGAAGCAAATGAAGATCATAACATGACAATGGTGATAGCATAGAGATGATCAAGGACTTAAACTTGAAGAGAAGAAAGAGAAAAACAAAAAGCTCAAGGCAAATGTATAACTTGTAGGAGCTATTTTATTTTGGTGATCAAGACACTTAGAGAGTGTGATCACATTTAGGTTTGATAAGCCATACTATTAAGAGGGTGAAACTCGTGATCGAATGCGGTTATCAAAGTGCCACTAGATGCTCTAACTCATTGCATATGCATTTAGGATCTAGTGGAGTGCTAACACCCTTGATAATATTTGTGTAAATATGCTACCACATGTGCACAAGGTGTTTGTAGGGTTGAGATGGGTTTGGGTCCTTCTCTCCCTCCCCGCCGAGCTTATGAGATGGATTCAAGCGCTTTGGAAAATAAAATGTCTATTTTCTATTGCGCCGGATGCAAAATTCTTGGTGGTTGGCACACTTGAGCAAGGGTGAAGAAGTAAGAGTTGAAATGGAGTTGATCGAAATGATGTCAAGGCGTCGTCCAGAAGGATCGGATTACCGGTCACTCAATGATCGGGACGCCGACGTCAAGGTCCGGTCATAACCCGACTCGGCGGTACAAAGGGTTAGGGTATACCACCGGACGTTGGCCGAGTCCGGTTGAGGGGACGGACGCGTCGTCCGGCCGAAGAAAAATGGATTTGGACCCTTATCAGACTCGGCCGGACGCTGTGGCTCCAGCCAGTCCGGCCGGATTACCGAGCGTCCGGTCATTTCATGATCGTTGAAATCGACGAATAGTATTTGAAGCAGGGACACGTGGCGTGAATCACGTGACCGGACGCCGAGGGCTGACGTCCGGCCGATCGGACCGGAGCGTCCGGCCACCCCGTTGTGCCCAAAGTGAAGGGGCACAAATGGCTCTATTCATCGGGCTCTATTTATAGCCCCATGGCGGCTCAAGCTCGCTCTCTTGCACATTTTCATTGATATAGCAACCTTGTGAGCCTAGCCAAAGCCCTCCCACTCATCTACATTATTGATTCATCATCATAGTGAGATTGGGAATGAATCCAAGTGCATTGCTTGAGTGATTGCATCTAGAGGCACTTGGTGATTGTGTTTCGCCACGGATTTCGCTTTACATTACTCTTGGTGGTTGCCGCCACCTAGACGGGCTTGGAGCAAAGCAAGGATCGTTGAGTGGAGGAGGTGATTGTCTCCGACTCGATCGTGGTGATTGTGAGGGGTTCTTGACCTTTTCTCGTGGAGCGCTAAAAGGTACTCTAGTAAATTGCTTGTGGCTTGTGTGATCCTCATCTTGTGTTGGTTGTGCGGCACCTTATTGAGGGTTTGGCGAGTGATGCCAATCAGTAGCGTGAACCTCCAAGTGAGTGAATCGCCATTAACGAGGACTAGCTTGCTTAAGAAGCAAGTGAACCTCGGTAAAAATCATTGTGTTCATCATTTGATTCCGAGGTGATTGGTCTACATTGGTATTTATTATTGTGATTGATTGGTTCCTACCACTACACGGCATGGTATAACCCTCTTGATCACTCTCTTTACTTTACCGCAAACTAGTTGACAAGCTCTTTAGTGTAGCTAGTTGTGAGAGCTTGCATGCTTGGTTGGTGTGGCTCTTTAGTTAGCTTTTGAGAGCACACTAACATAGGGTAGTGTCATTACTCTTGTGTAAATTGACACTATCTAAACTAGAATTGTGGTAGGTGGCTTGCATTTTTAAGTAGGCTAGCGCAACACTCGCTTCGCCTCATAATTGTCTAACCATTTGGTTAAGTGTTGTTGTAGAATTTTATTTGGCTATTTACCCCCCTCTAGCCATTAGGATCTTTCACTGGTGCTGATTTTTTATGAGAGGAAAACACTATTGACTGACTGATTTGAACTGGCTGAAACCAACAAACGAACGTGTTAAATTAAGTTACTAGAGCCAGCCGTTCATGTACTCTCTCCTGCTGTTCCCTCGCGTGAACAGTAGCCGCGGGCACCTTAGCTCCGTCGTCGCCTCTCTCTCTCTCGATCTAGCAGCCACGTAACAGGTGTAGTATGTAGTACTATACGACAGTGGTAGTTCTCGACTTCTCGTCCTCTGGATGCTACTGACAGCAATTAGCATTACATTTATTTATGTCCAGCAGAGACGCGTCAGTCATCATAGTACCCCTTTGCCTATTATTCATAGATGACACTAAGAGCGCATTTAGATGCAAATTTTTTTTGAGTTTTAGTTATCGTAAGTATCGCAACATTCGATATGATGGTGCTGCGTAAATTTTTTGAAACTAAACAGACCCTAATTACTCAGCAGTACTCCGTAGACAGTAACAACTCATGAATGAGTGATGGGATCACAAGGCAGAGCTTTCTCCAACAGGACGAATCCTGGAGCCTATATCACTGTTATTCTGCCCTAGGGTTCACAAGTCACAATACAACAAAAAACAGATTGGGGCCTCTCTGCATTCTACTGCTACTAGCAGTACAGACCACAACTTAATCAACAGCAAAACCCATGGATTAATTAATTAAACAAACAGACAAACAAATGGATGGATGGATTTGAGCTAACACAATACAGGCATAAGCATCAAGTAGTGTAGTGAGAAATGAGAAGGCAGCAGCATGGTTCTTTTCCTTTCCAATCCAATCCCATCAAGACTAGTAGCTCCCTCTCTTCTTCCCTAAAGCCTGTTCGCTTGATCTGCATTTTATCGTAAATGATCGTAAATTTTCAAAGCAAAAACAATATTTTTCTTTTTACACAAACTAATGTCATCATACTTTTTCACAAACCAAAGCGACGATACACTAACGAGCCAAACCGAACTGGACAGAGCTCTCAACTCAAACCTACCTTAATGGCCACTGTTCACCATTTATCATAGGGAATAATTGTCCCCCCTTCCATTCCCCATATATTAATCCCCCTTCCCTTCACCCATGGCATTGGCATCCTCCGCTCTCCCTCTCCCCACCACCACGCCTTCCTCCTCCTCACAAGCCATAGCCACCACCACCTCTTTCTGTGCTTACCCTCTCGCATTCTTCGAGTTCGAGGAGAAGGAGGCGGCGGCGGCGATGGAGCTGGAAGAGCAGGCCTTCCTGGAGGAGATCCTCTCCTGCGGAGGGACGGCTGGGACTGCAATGCCATGGGGACTTCTTCTCCCCGGCGGCGGCCATGGACTGCTCCTTCCAGGACCGCCACCACCAGGTGCCCACCGTCAGCGTCCTCCCCACCTTCACCGCCTCCTACGCCCAGCCGCAGCCGCAGCCGGCGGTGGCGCCCGGCTTCGACTGCCTCAGCGAGGTCTACGGCGCCGCCGCGGCGTTCGGCGGGCCCAATGCCGGCGACTACGGCGGCGAGATGGGGTTCCTTGACGTCGTCGAGCCCAAGACGGCGGCGGCGCTGGTGGACGGCGGCGGCGGCGGCGCCACCGCGGGCCTCGGGGTCTGCAAGGTGGAGCCCGGCCTGGCGGAGAGCGGCGGCGCGTTCGGCCCTGGCCCCGGCGTCGCGCGCCGCCGCCGGCTCCGGCGTCCAAGAAGAAGAGGGTCGAGGGATGCCGTCCAAGAACCTGATGGCCGAGCGCCGCCGCCGCAAGCGCCTCAACGACCGCCTCTCCATGCTGCGCTCCGTCGTGCCCAAGATCAGCAAGGTGAGAAGGCCAAAAAAAATCTCTCCTTTTCTTGGTTCTTGTCCTCCTCGGCCAAGAAAGGACATTTGCATCAACAGCAAACAAATAATCTATCTATCTATCTATGGCGGCTGGGCTGATGAGATATGAAATGTGCGTCGTGGTGCGCAGATGGACCGGACGTCGATCCTGGGCGACACGATCGACTACATGAAGGAGCTGCTGGAGAGGATCAAGCTGCTGCAGGAGGAGATGGACCAGCAGCAGCAGGAGGCGCCGGGCATGCTCAGCGTCTTCCGGGCGCTCAACCCCAACGAGATGGTGGCCAGGAACACCCCCAATGTACGTGAAGAAGCGAGCTGCTATTGCTGCTGCTGCGATTGGGGGAAGGGAAATGTGAGGCGAGGCTGAGATGCTGCTGCTATGTACGTGATGCCTCGTGCAGTTCGACGTGGAGCGGAAGGAGGGCGGCGACACCCGGGTGGAGATCTACTGCGCCGCCAAGCCGGGGCTGCTGCTGTCCACGGTGAGCACGCTGGACACGCTGGGGCTCGACATCCAGCAGTGCGTCATCAGCTGCTTCAACGACTTCGGCATGCACGCCTCCTGCTCCGAGGTAGTGACCACTCCCTGTCCATCCATTGGTTCGCTGCCATTCATACTCCTTCGCCCTCAAATTGGATGCAATCATGCAATGCAATGCAACAAGTTTGCTCCTTGAATGGTTGCTGGAGAAGAGGGTGCCTAACTGACAATTTTGGTGGCAATGACATCGCAGATGCAGAGGGACATGATCAGCGCCGACGTGATAAAGCAGGAGCTGTTCAAGAACGCTGGCTACGGCGGGGCTGCTTGTAGAGGGCATGGGAGGAGGAAGAAGAAGGGGAGCAGGAGGCAGCAATAAATTAAGGTTGAGCAGCGCTAGTAGAAGTGGTAGCAAGGAGCAGCAGTGTAGTTTCAGTTCAGGTCCAGTAGCGGAAAAGGCAGGCAGGGCAGAGGCTGGCAAAGATTTGGGAGGCCTTTTTGCAATCAATCTCCCATCATAACCCACTTCGATCTACTACTATCCATGTTAGCAGTGTGTGTCCGTCCGTCCTAGCATCATGCAGGATGCAAAGGTTGCCCTGTGCTGTTGAATCTTTCTCCTATATTTATTATTAATTAACAAGAGCAAAGCTCGCTGCCTTTCTAATGATTGATCAGAAGTGACTTTGGCGATTCCTCTCTTTTGGATATATCTATATATAATGTTCTCCATTCAGCTCCTCTGTTATGTTCTGTTCGTTGTATTGTGGATATATAATGTTAGCTCATATTGTGGAGGTATCAAGGAAGGAAGGGCGTGTGTGTTGCTGAAATGTTCAGTCCAGCTTATGATCTGTATCTGTATGTATTGCCAATTCGCCATTGCCGGTGGACGGACGCCGCAACCAACCAATGAAGCAAAGAAATGTATTTGTAGAGTAGAAGTAGAACAGACAAGAAACAATGAGGCACTAGAGTGCCACCACAAAATTCTGCTCTTCTTTTTCGCTTGCTGTCACATTCTGATACAACTACTACCAAGCACTAGAGTTCCGGCCGCCTAATGAATCCAGAGGAGGGAGCGGAAGAGGAAAACCCCCTTCCCTCCATTCCATGCTTCATTTGTTCATCATCATCTGTAATGATAGCTGTCACGGGGCGGGACTTGCGGAGGCTCCTTGGTCTGTTGGTTTCGCTGAAAAGCTTGCCTCTTTTTTTTTTAAGAGAAAAACACTGTATAAATAGCTGATAAGCCACGCTAATCTGTTATGAGAGAAAAACACCGTAAAAATGGCTGCTGATTTGTTGCTTCTTGTTGATCTTGGGCCCTCTCCTCTCGTCACCTCTCCTTTCTCTCTCTGTCCAATCCAAGCATGGAGGGTCGCTTTCGCAATCTCCCGTCTTGCTTGATGCTCCCGTTGGTTCCATGACCGTGGTCCATGGATGGACTCCGTTTTCGGCGGTAAAAGATTTCACCACGGAAGCAGATCAGTGGCGCTTGTCGTATCTCTTGGCGCTCTGCACGGCGACTGCGGGAGAGGTTGGGCTGGGGACCATGACAGAGCTGACTAGCCGGCCACACTCGCTCCTTTGCAGCAGAGAGAGAGAGAGAGAGAGGAGAGGATGCCGGCAGGGAAAGCGTCATTGATGGATTTGACCCCTAGTAGTTTTTGTATATACGGAGTACTCCTACTACTGCTACGCAGACAAATGGCCCGGTTTCTGGTCTGATTTAGGCTGATTGAAGCTGATTTGTTGTGAGAGCAATATATTGTTAGCTAATTTGGATCGACTAAAACCAGCACGCAGACAGGCCGAAAGGTCCAGCCGTTTGTCTGCCCAACCCGTTTTTTTTTTCTTCTATCTTCTGATGAGCTAACAGTTCAATACTCAGACTACCGTCTTTAATGGAAGTCTCACTTGTCTCTGAGGCAAATAATTTTAAACTTAACTAGATTTATAACAAACGGTTAACATTTATATATATCAAATATAGGCTCATTATGAAAATAAAGCATCCTGACCGAATTTGTAGTTGCCCTATCCTAAATCCTAATAAAGCAGCCAACCGCATCTTCAGCTAACTGATTGCTAATGGCTAATGCTGCGAGGAATGAACAACTCTCCCCCAGGACGGATCGTCGTCCACTGCAGGTCCATCTGAACCTTGTAAAGGTGCTCAATCTAGACTCCAAAGTTTGTACTTATCTTATCAAGTCCTGTTCGTTTGACTTATAAATCGTACTTTTTCAGCCAACGAACAGTATTTTTCTCTCACAACAAATCAGTAAACAATACTTTTAGTCATGGCTTATCAGCAAGCGAACAGGGCAATATCTAATACAAGGAAGACGGTGACCGTGCTAATGTATAGGAGTATGTTTAGTATAGTAGTGGTAGATGCAATGAGTTGCCATCAGGACAAGATGAATGGGGTTATTATAACAATATATTAAGGAAGTAAAAGAATGACAGGCTTGCGCAAGTAATTAAGAAAAGAAAGATGCTGAACCGGTCGAGATGGGATGGGGATGGGGACGCAGGTGGGTGGGTGTTGGCAGCAGCAGCCTGGGACTGGGACTGGAACTGGCAGGCGTGTCCCTCTGCCTCGTCTTCACGACGCACTGCTCGCTATAGCCTGGTTTAGTTCGCGAAATTTGAATTTTGAGGCTACCGTAGCATCTTCGTTTTTATTTGGCAAATAGTGTTTAAACATGGACTAATTAGGTTCAAAACGTTCGTCTCGCAATTTCCCACCAAACTGTGCAATTAGTTTTTCTTTTCGTCTACATTTAATGCTCCATGCACGGGCCGCAAACATTCGATGTGACAGGTACTGTAGCAACTTTTTAGAAATTGGGGTGAAACTAAACAAAGGCATAGTTTGCCAACAGTAGTATTGTCTTGTGTGGGAGCACCAGCACCAAGAGGTCAGAGGAGGTAGTATCGTTCACGGCCTCTGATCACCTCAGCGCTGCAACTGCACTGTAGGGTTGCCGCGCGAGGCGGGCGCTCTCCATGGCATCCGATGGCGTCGCCGATCGGGGTGGGTCGTCGGCCGCAACGACTGCCATGAGGGCAGCGCTCATCAGTCATCATAATCATAATCTTACCATATAAGGCAATAGTCCACGAACAGGAGGCGACGCCGCCCGTGATCTCCACCAGAAGTCCAATAGGGTATGGGTGGTCCCAGCAAGCGTCTCTCTTCTCTTCAGCCCACACCACACCACACCGTTGCCGGCCGGTATACGAGGAATCTAACACAGAGCGCACCGTGTACTGGTGGAGTTGTGGTGTATAGGAAAGGAAACAGCCTGCAGGATACCCAACTGAGCCGGACCCATATAATTAGCTGGGCTCTGGGCTGGACCTTAATGTTTCTTGAGATAGGACCTTAATACTGTTGCTTTATAATAAGCAGTCCTGATTGCTTGTCTTGCCATGTGCCTTTTGATTCCATTCATGGGCCATGGCGTATTGCTTATGCCTCACAGTCACAGTCACACCTCACACGACACCACCATTCATTCAGTTCCAAACTTCCAATGCCAATGGATCAACACTAAGATTTTTGACTGCTATAAGTGCTACCCCGAGAGGCCAAAGTCATGTTGTAATATTACTAGATGAAAGAAGCATTGATATGCTAGGTAGTAGGTACAGCAGTAATAAGGGCGTAGGGCAGCCATAGGGCTATTACAAAATGCCACTTTCTGCCCAAAGTTTCTGTCAACCAATATTATATATATATATATATATATATATATATATATATAGTAATTGGCAAGGGAGAGAGAGAGAGAGAGAGAGGACGACCTGTTATTATATAGAACTTAGAGCCATGGCATCCACCAGATGTACATTTTGCCGAGGTAGTTGAGGGAGACTGCTTCAGCGATCAGCCGCCGCGCTTGGCCTTCCACGGAGAGCGGCAGTGAAGGGCTGGCTTTAGCACCCACCAGAACTCCCTGCAGCCTCGCTTTGATGTTAGTGATGGCCCTCTGGAAGATTGGATTGTATACAACAAGAGATACATCAGAATGCTACCGGTGTAATGGTGGTTACTATACTTCTAAGACATGTCAAATATGCGCTCGTCCAGTGCCCTTGCTGTATATGCCATCATACCTGCGCGTGTGGGTTCTGGACTTCACCTCCGCTAGACTTGTTAAGTTTGGTCCACTCGACGAGTGGATCATGGATGAAGGTCTCAAGGACAGTCATGAGGGTCTCCTTGTGGGTCCTGAGAACAGATAGAGTGATTTCACAGACCTTTAAAAATACGCCTTCATACCCAGTGATGCCCAAGCCATCGATCATGTTCTGCAGTTGAAGTCCAAGAAAAAAAAAACCATGTTACAGGTCAGATATCCACAGAGCTTGAAAGGCACGAAAAACTAACCAAGACATGCTCTCGCTACTTACCTGTGTAAGCCTAAACGGCACCACCTCAGGCTTGTCCAGTAGCAACCCCCTATCAAACAGGCAGCTAAAATCCACGTGCACACAGTCCCCGGTCGTCGAGTCGAAGAGGATGTTTTCACCATGCCTGTCACCCAGCCCCACGATGTGCCCAACCATTGACCACACTGCCGTGGTATGTGCATATGCCACTCTAGCACGAAACCATGCAGCTGGTTCAGAGAATGTTGTCAAGAACCATTTGTGGAAAACTGGGGGAAACATTGGAAGGATTCTGGTCTTCAGCATCACATCGTCAGGCATCTTCCCATGGCATGCGTCATATATCTTCTTGATTTGTGAATTTGTTTTCGCCCTATCAAACTTCCCAAAAGTTATGTAGATGTCCTGAAGAATATGCCGAAGACCACGAGTATTGGGCACCCATTCTACCATTCCACAATCTTCGGTAAGTGGTACCACTGCAAAGGTTCTGATATAGAGCTTTCTCCTGCGGCTCTCAGGGACCGTGGAGAGGAGACGGTTGATCATTGCATTGAACTCCATCATGCGTGAGTCTTTCCTAAGATCATCCTTAGGTTTGCAAAGAAATGGACGTTCAACTCCATCACTTCCAAGGAAAACAACCTGAAGTTCAAAATGATCAGCTGGTGAGTTGCTATCAGCCTAGTGAAGTATAAGCTATAGGACTATAGCTAACTCTGATACTAACAAACTTGTACAAGTGTCGAACAGCCTTTTAACTTCGATATCAAATTCAACATGATTTGTACAACACTCTAGAAATATTCACCATCTAACAAAATTTAGAATGGCTTTTGATGTGAAATTTAGTTAGCCTAAACAGTTGCTCTTCATACTAATGCAGTAATTAATCAAGCAAGGCAATGCTCAACGTACCTTCTTTGGTTTCTGAAGGGAGTTAAGAATTTCTGTTTCATCAGCTATTCCAGCTATAGTGGGATGTTGAGAGACTGAGAAGGGGTGAAAACCAGATTGATCCGACATATTTGAATCATATGATGGCAGAGTCACAGTTAAAGCTTGCTGGACAGGTAAGATAATTCCTAGTGGCATCATTCTTTTCAAGGCACTGAACTCAGTTGAGATGTTTATTGTTTTCGCCCTTGGTTGCCCTGGATGAGAGCAGAGCCTAATAAGATGGCCTATAAGATTAGTAAATTGACTGAAGAGTGCATTACTCCCACGCCGACATCCTTTCTTTGCTGACTGCAATATTTCTGCAGCAGCATCTCGTCTTGCCAGAACAGTGGAATTAGACACTGCAGCCATCATCCAAAGAGCTTGTTGAGGGTATTCCCGTAAAATAGATGTGATGATGCATTTGACCATTCTGACAACATCAGCATTTTGGTGACAGATGCGGGAGATCAACTGAGACAGCACAGTAAGCCACTGATATGTTGGTACATCCTTCAAACACCCACGTATGAGGCCTAAAACCTGCAATGGGCTGATTAAGTTTCTTACGCAGAATGAAAAAAAAAAGAATATGAAAAGGATGTGCAATCAATTTACATTTGCATTAATCTCTTTCATACGTTGATTGGAGGAAGATTCATTTCGGACATATATGCTTCCAAATTCAAACCAAAGAGTAAGCATTCGAGGCAGTGCTTGAAAAAGATTCTTATGTCCTTTGTGAAGTGCTTTTCCATAACATAGTAGCACTCCCGGAAGAAATTCACACCAAGGCTTCTCTTTTTCTTCAATTGCCCTGCTTGCAGAGCTAGAAGGGACTGGTCCAACTTTACAAGCAAACTTATCTTCTTGCCTTTTCCTAGCATCAACAAGCAAATCATCAAAAAACTTTGCCATGCAGAAAAAACCTTTTTCCCACTTGGGCCGCAATTCCGTTACTCTAGAATAGAGAGATTTGATATCCGCACTCTGTTTTTGCCCTGTGTTGTGAATCCATCTAGTATAGAGAAGCAGGGTTTTAGACACATCTGGATTCTCTTTCAATGCTTGTGTTGCAGAGATAGGTGCATTTGGCAAAGCAAGAGAGAGGCTACAAAGAGATGAAACGACAGCATTTCCCAAAACTTCCGCTGGCATGTTGATAAGCGTTTGCTGAAGTTCAGCTATAGCGCTATCAAACTTCCGTATATTCCAGAGATACTTTGCCTTCTCCATGTGAGCATTGGGGGCACCTGAGGCATCTGCTTCTAGTATTGCAAGGTGGGCTGTCTCATTGTGACCAGCCAAACGGAGAGCTTAGCATACTGAAGCCAGCAGTTCCCAACTTGAACATTCATATGACTCTGACTAAAAACCACCCTTCGCAGAGCAAGTAAAGGTTCCCTTGTCCACAGTGATGGCTGTGTGCATCTCAGACGGTTCTCCCAATCCTTCGTTAACTTCAGAAAGTTTGGATCGTTTGCACGAAATGACTTATCAATAAATGACTCATCTCCCAACAGGGAATTGAAGTCTTCCAACTCACGCAACATATGGAGCTTGACAACATAAGGATATGCACGCATATATGAGTCCATGCCTGCCGCAGACAGAGGTACAAGCAATGCTTGCTTGGACTGGGCAATTTTTTCAGCAACCAGAAACTGATCTTTGATCATCATGGCCTTGAATATCTTAGCAAGATCCATGTCAAAAGAAGCATTATTCTCAGAACTGCTGAACACCAGACCCTTGTCTGTCCTGGTCAGATATGAATCCATGAGATCCCATCTCCCTAATCGCCATGCTGCTTGCACTCCATGCATGAACCAAGTTTTCTTATACTGGGGTATACTGCAAACCAAACCGTCCACATGGGCGATCATGCCTTGAAGGTGGCACATGTTTAGCAAACAATTAAGAACATCGGATTGTCTATGAACAGAGGTAGGTTCCATTTGCAAGGCCTGTTCACATAAGGTTAGGACTTCAGCCCAGTTTCCAGCTTTCTCATTAATGATAAGCTGATCCTGTAGGCTCGATGACTTCCTCAGATTCGCTAAACCTAGGAGGCCATCAGGCTCATCCAATCCTCCATATATTTCCATAAGAAAAGATATGTCATTGTCTGAAAAGGTGCCACTACACTGCACAGCTGGATTGGAGGAACCAGAATTCTCCTGGACATGGGATTCAAAGTACATTAGAGCACGAGCATGAGCTTGACATCTAAGAGAGGCCCTTGCTAGAGTGACTTTAGGTATAGCAGCCAGCAACTCAGCAACATTGCTACACTGCACCAGCATTTGATCCTGTTCATGATCAGAATATGTGCCATCTTTCAGTTTACCTCCATGCTTTCCAGCCATGGCATAACTAGACTGGGATAAAGCAATTTCCTGTTTGAGGTCATCAACCCATTGCCCAAGGTTATCAAGTAAAGTGAAGATGGCTTGAATACAGACCTCACTCTGCCCCACTGCAATTTCATGAACAGCAGCCCCACTATTTTCAGAAGCAGCAGCATTGAGAACACACAGAATTTCCTCAGTAATGCTCTGACGAGCCTCTGGAGTACCATAACAGACAACATTTAAGACCAAGTATGGTAAGAGATAGATTGCAGTTGGCATGTCATGCCGAAGAATTCCACGGCATGCACTAAAAATACTAGAACGGGATCCAGTTGCATGTGATGACAACTTTCTAATCCAGTAGTATATCCACCTTCTAAAAGACATTGTTGGGCAGAATATTGGGCCAGCTAAAGCAGAATCAGTTGTGTTAGGAAGATGAAACCTCGATGTTAAGCATGGGGCAATAATTTCCTTGACATAGTTTGAGAAACGGTCCCACAACTTTTGGCCCCTGTAGCTCATCTCACAACAATTTGATTCTTCACTACATGAAGACTGGCAACCTGCCAATTTTAGTAGCTCCTGGATAGCCAAGGCAGCAGAATCTTGCACTGTAGTGTCAGCAGCAGCTCTGAATGCCCTTGCAAGATGCTTGTGGATCAACTCAAATATCAGATCATCATCTGAACATTCTATCTTAAAGCGCTCACAAGAACTTACCTTCAACTTAGCAGGATCAAGAGCACCAAGTGCGCCAAGACAGTCTGCACAAACTAGTTTCAGTCTCTGGCCAACAACAGTCCTTGATTGCTCTGCACATCCTTTAAGTAAAGCCATAACTAAAGAGCTTATTACATCCAAATCAGCAATATCTTCACCAATGATAAGAGCAGTCATATCCTCCCTTCTGGCATTGAATAATTTACTCAGCTCACAAGCTACCATGTACCTCACATTTAAGCTTTCATGATTAAGACCATTGACAGCATCCTTCAGATGATCTTGCAGTGTCATTAGCCCTCTAGCTTCCTCTATTACCTTGTTTACTTCCGATAAAGATGGTATGCTAGGCAACAGTGGTAATTCACGTATATGTTGCTTTAGCAAGCTATTGTTTTTCACAACAAGCTCTTCTAGGATTTCAACAATTTTACCTAGGTTCATGGAAGGACATCCTCTGAACCTTTCCAGAGATGGAATGAAAGCAGATACAACTTGGGACAGAACATATTTGATACTACTTGGTGATACTTCAGCCAATTGCTTTATGAAAAAATGTAAGACATCAAGACCACCCATCTGGAGACCTTCCTTATCAATGGCGAAACTCAACAGGACCATAATCTTTGGCGTATGTGTACTCAAATAAGGGCCCATCATCTCAATCAATTTCCTTATTCGCTGGAGAGCTTGTTTTTGAAGCTTCATATCATCAGAGTGAAGCATCTTCTTGTCAATGCTATTGAGAAGGCGAACAAAATCATTCCTCAAAAACTCAGGAAGAGTTTCACTGCCTGTCAGAATTCTAGCAATATTCTGAATTGTTGGTGAGATTTTTGCTGTCCTGAAAATTAATATATTATTAGAAAATTGTTCATATATACCTAACATTTACAATGAACTGCATGTCTAATGGAAAGAATATAACCTTATATCATTCTCAATCTGATCAGATTCCCGAGGAAAACATACAATTTCATCAAGCAGTGTAGGCAAAGCTGCAAATATCTCTTTGCTATCAGTTCCCGTCTCATTCTTATAAAATTGCAGAACTGATGGTAAATGCTGCCCATCTTCATAAAAAAGGGCAAAGCAGAGAACTTTAGGCAACATATTTACAATCAGTGGTACCAACTCAGTGTTTAGATGGCTTGCCAGTTCACGCAGAGTAAAAATAGCATGGTTATTGTTTGGGTGCGATACAATGAGCTTTGGTATAACTGATGGAACCATTCTCTTAATCAGCTCTACGGTCTTAATACCTACAATGTCCTCAGCGAATTCCTTAATTATTACTGGATGAGTCACAAGTCTAGATGACAGATAGTCATATAAATTATCTCTAGCATGTGAGTACTTCAAGAGGAAGAGATCCAGTCCTCCTTTGAAACAGTATGCACAGCATCTGTGAATTAATCTCAATGCAGTCATCCTTATGATGGAATTATGATTATCAAGCTGGCCAATAAGTAACACAAATGAACAGAAGAAAACTTCTCCATGAATATCACTAACTTTCACAATAGTACCAATTGATTCCAGAAGTGTCAAAAGAATCTGAGAATCTTCAGCTTTGGTGAAAGCACATTTTATCTTGTCCATGAACTGAAGTTCTTTAGACCCTCCATTCATTCCCAGTCCACCAGAAAACAAAATATCCATAACACTGTTTTCCAAGAAGCAGTAGACTACACCAGAAAATGCTTCCCTGACAGCTTTCATTTCATGACACAGAAGAAATTCAAAACACTGATTCCACCGAGTTCTCATCTCAAGTAGAAGATGCCTGCTAGAATGCCTCAATAACCGTGGCAAAGCTTCAACCAAAGAAACTATAGATTCCTCAGAAGTCCCTGTGTAGAGAAATTTGAAAAAGAGAGTGTGGGCCTTGGAGATGTTAATATTGAAGTCCACATTCTCAACTTGTAATGGTGCAATGTCCACTATAGAAACTTGCTCTTCATTGTGGACAGTTCTATTCATGATATCACATTGAGGGCAACAGAAACCTCTCAAGAGAAGATCTAATGTTGACACAGGTTGTTCATAGTGCTTGTCCAAGAATAACTTGCAATGGTCCCCCACATTGTCGGTGTGATCAGTGGTTCCATTTAAGCAAGATAGAAAACCAAGTGAAAAGGCAATACTTTTCCCCACGTTCTCGAGTCCTAAAGCATCCACTGACCTGTAGCAAGCAAACAAGGGACAACATAGTAAGATATCAACCTAAAATCATGGAACTACATGTATTTAAGAACAAAATTTGAAGGATAGAATCACATGTACTGGATAACAAACAAAATAACTTATTAAAAAACTTTAACTGGAAAAGTACATCTCATCTACAATAATCATGAAAGGGGAAGCAAGTCCACTCACTCAAGTTTCTTAAACATTGCTCTAAGCATCCTAGGACCAGAATATAACACAATTATGGGTAGTGATATAATTGCCTCATTTTTAGTCTCAGCAGTTCCATTACGGATAGCCAAATCAAGGAATTCAAGATCACATCCAGAAGTCAGTCTATTGCCAATCTTAGCACAGACTTGCAGCAAAAGATATTCTATCTTGTAGTTTGAACTAGTTTCAGTGACAGCATGACCAACATCCCACATCAGTTTCAACATGCTGATGAGGTCAGCATATGTTGGATGAACAAAATGTGTACCATCACCAATCAACTGAGAGTCATCTTCAAGAAGTTTAGTGTGCCCAGGAAGATTGACTGCACCAACATTAAGACAAAAAGGGTTAGCTACTAAAGTTGAAATAAAGAGACGCACAACTTGATTACCATATACTCAGGAAGGTCAAGCATAATCTAAACCTTAAAAACTTGTAAGCTGATGTCAGGGAGAAACAGATCCCTTACGTATACCATTTTTTACAAGCCTAACTGTCCTAATGTTGCAGTCTTGAAGATGCTTTGTTCGAGGGATGATGCTGCAAAATTGCAAGGGTGTATAATTTGGACCACCACAAACAGCTCCATGTGCATGCTAAGTAAGCTAGCTTATTTGGGCATTCGGATTTAGGAATGGGGGTAATTTGTGGTTACTTTTCAGAGCAGTACAGTGCTTATTTATAAATGCTGCTGTGGAAAACGAGAACAGGCAAATCATTCTGTTCAGTTTGGCAAATCAGATCGAGTTTGACACATTATTTCTTCCGTGGTCCTTAGTCTCACATTCCAAGCATTTGTTCTGTATTTTTAAACACAACTGTATCTCTGTCTGGGAAGTATTACCAACGTGAAAAGGAAATTAAGAAGTACTCCCTCTGTTCCAATTTATAGGCCGTTTTGGTATTTCTAGATACACATTTTTTATTATGCATCTAGACATATTGTATATCTAGGTACACAGCAAAAGCTATGTACCTAGAAAAGCCAAAAACGACCTATAATTTGGGACAGCGGGTGGTAGCACATATTTAGAGCTCTTCCAAGACAAATGAACCTGATGTCTCAAAGACAGATCATAAGAAAATCGCAGCACATAAGGCCCAACAAGACATGCACAAAATGCAAAGTGCTGCTAAATTAAAGACATGCAGAAGTGGAAGGCTCACATTGGAGAAGCATTGCAGTATGAAGAGCTTCAAAATACAGGGGCGCGTCAAATGAATGCAAGTTTCTCTGGGCTGTCTGCAAGATTAATAATTTTTAGGATGAAAAAAATACAAGCTAAATCAATAAACATGCAAGTTTCAGTGATTGTTGCCTACCTGTTTATGAATCCAAGAAATCCAGGAAAGGACTTGCTTAGAAACTCTGGTAAACAGACTTGTCTTCGGATAAACACATAATGAAATACACAGCAGACTAATCACTTCTATAGCAGCCTCAGGGTCTAATGGATAAGTCTCATGATTGTCTGGTGACAGGCAATTAATCAGTGAATTTAAAGACTGTAGAAAAGCATAGCCATAATCTTCTTTTTCAAATCCAGTGGCAGCAGAAAATCCTGATTCAGTCATCTTCTGACGTTTGGCAGAACTGCTTTCCTCATGCCGTGATATTCTTTTCTGGCCAACTTTTGGCAACTCAATTTTTCCAGATCTTGCCTGAGGACTGCTTTGACCATTACCATCATCCAGAGTGTAGAAGATGATGTTGGGGCAATAAGCCACACTCTCAATGGGAGAGGGGCGCCTCTATTATAGGGCAGCTGCTGCTGCTATATATGGCAGTTTACAAATACAAGGACAGGAGTAAATCTCTGATCCTAATTGACTGGACTGCCTAAATATGCAATATACAATCTCCTATTGCCTAATATATGCAATATACAATCTCCTATTGCCTAATACCCTCACCGCACCGAGGCGGGGGGCTTATGAACGACACAGTGCTGGTTCTCAACTCTTGAAACAAAGGGCGTTGGGAGCCCTTTTGTCATAATGTCAAGAAATCGATGAGATGAAGGAACATGAAGGACCCGAATCTCACCAAGAGCCACCTTCTCGCGCACAAAGTGAATGTCAATTTCAATATGCTTCAGGCGCTTGTGGTGGACTGAATTGGCCGTCATGTAGATGGCGCTAACGTTGTCGCAGAAAACACCGTGGCTCGGGCAATGGAAGATGGAGCTCTGAAGGAGTTGCCGCGAGCTAACAAAGACTTTCGCCACAACGTGAGCCCACAAAGACGGTATTCTCGCCTTCAAGACTAGAGCGGGACACCGTGGTCAGCGTTGGAGGACCAGGAGACCAGGTTGTCGCCGAGATAGACGCAGAAACCAGAAGTGGACCGCCTGGAGTCAGGGCAACCAGCCCAGTCAGCATCAGAGTATGCGGTCAGCGTCTGAACGGAGCCGGCGCCAATGTGAAGACCGGAGGATAGCGTGCCCTTCACATAGCGCAGAATGCGCTTGATCAGCGCACGGTGGGGCTCCCTTGGGGCGTGCATGAAGAGACACACACCGTTGAATCGCATAAGCGGATCAGATGCGCCGAGTCAGCATCAAGAGCCCCTGCTAAGCTCCTGAACTCTGAGCTGTCCTTGTCTGACAGTTTGTCGCCGTCATGGGCGGAGAGCTTGGCCTGAGTGTCAACAGGGGTTGACGTAGGATGACACTCAGCCATGCCCGCCCGCTGGAGGAGATCGACGGCGTACTGTCGCTGTGACAGGAACAGGCCGTCGGGGGTGCGGGTGACGGCGACGCCGAGGAAGTGGTGAAGAGCACCCAAGTCGGTCATGGCGAACTCAGACTGGAGTCGGGCCATGAGTCGCTGCAGAAGAGCGGGAGTTGAGGCGGTGAGGATGATGTCGCCGACGAGAGCAAAGAGTAGGCAAGACTCGCCCCTCGGTGAGAACAAAGAGGGACGTGTCGGAGGCGGAGGTGACGAAGCCGAGCTGTTGAAGGAAGGCCGCGAACCGCTGGTACCAAGCACGCGGGGCCTGCTTCAGTCCGTACAGGGACTTCTGCAGGAGGCAGACGTGATCTGCAGCGGCGGGGTCGACGAAACCTGGTGGCTGCTGACAGTAGACCGTCTCGTCGAGGTGGCCGTGAAGAAAGGCATTCTTCACATCCAGCTGATGGATCGGCCAGGCGCGGGAGACGGCAATGCTGAGAACAGTCCGAATGGTAGCCTGTTTGACCACCGGACTGAATGTCTCGTCGTAGTCAATACCTTCTCGTTGGGAAAACCCGCGGACCACCCAGCGGGCCTTGTGACGAGCGAGGGACCCATCGGCATGGAATTTGTGCCGGAAAATCCACTTGCCCGTCACAACGTTCGCGCCAGGAGGGCGCGGAACAAGACGCCAGGTGTCGTTGTCGACGAGTGCCTGGTACTCAGCCATCATCGCAGCCCGCCAGTTGGCATCGGCCAGGGCGCTGCGGTAGTTCGCCGGTAAAGGCGATGGTGAGGGCGAGGAGGTGGCAGCGAGCCCCTCGTAGCTCACACGCGGGATGGCGCCGGTCCTGGTGCGCGTGAGTGGCGGAGATGGGGTTGCACCGACTGCGCCGCAGTCTTTGGGGACAGCCGATGGCGCTGCACCAATGGCTGGGTCGTCGATCGAGGTCCGTGGGAACGAGCCACGGGAAGGCCAAAGTGAGGCACGTGACCACACCCGCCCGGTGGTGGAGAAGCCGAACTGGGGCTAGGGGGCACAGGGCCGCGCCCCCCAGGCAGGAGAAGAGCCGGGTCCGGCTCATCATCAGGGGGCGGCTGCACACCGTCCAGGGTGAACGGAGCAACCGTGGTCGTTGAGGGACCTCCACCTGCAGGAACAGTAGAGCAAGGCACCGAAACCGAATCGTTGTCTAGAAGGAAATCCAAGGAGCGAGGGAATGGGAGGACGCTGGCGGTGGAAAAAGGAAAAACAGTCTCATCGAACACAACATGGCGAGAAATAATGATGCGTTGAGTTTCCAGGTTAAGACATCGATAACCCTTATGAGAGGATGGATACCCAGGAAAATGCATGCATGGAGCGAGGTGCGAGCTTATGTGGGAGGTAGCCTCAGTAGGTTTGGGTAGCATAGGCACCCAAAAACACGAAGGTGGTCAGAGGGTGGGTGGCTGTCCATGGAGGCGAGTGAAGGGAACCTCATGGGATATGGAGGAGGAAGGGCGCCTATTGAGTAAGTAGCAAGCAAAGAAGGGCCTCACCAAAGATGTGCAAAGCGGCATGGAAGCGTGGAGCAAAGATGGTGCGAATTGAGTTGTTGAGGGTGCGAATGGTGCGTTCCGCCTTGCCATTTTGAGGGGAAGTGTATGGGCGGGAGAGACGGAGAAGTGTTCCCGAGCAAATGAAGAAGGTGGTGGTGGTCAGTATTGATGAATTCGGTGCCATTGTCGGTTTGGAAGCATTTTACAGGGAGGTTAAATTGGGTTTGTGCAAGAGCTGTGAGCTCAACTAAGTGTTGGTGGACCTCGGATTTGCGTCAAGAGGAAAAACCCAACAATAGTGACCGTAATCATCCGAGCGCATCTAAATAGTATGAAAAACCAGATATGCTAGGTATTGGAGGGTCCAAACATCACAATGAATTAGGTCAAACGGGCATGAGAACAAGACCGAGAGGCATCAAAGGGTAGACGCGTATGCTTGCCTAGTTGACATGAATGATGAGGGAGCGGTCTACTTTATTACAAGAAACAAAGATGTATTTTATTTAATCTGTTGTAATGCAAATAGGGCTGGATGGCCAAGACGCTGGTGCCACAGCAGTGTCACGCAAACAAACAGCCGGAGAGCATGTGAAGAGGCGCCAATGGATCGGAGGGATAGCGGTATGGTGTAGAGATCACCGGTACTATTGCAAAATGATGAATCACGCGTCCGTCTGGGTATCCTTAATGAAAAACCAAGAGCGCCAAATTCAAGAGAGCGGATTTTTTCACGGGTGAATTGACGAACGGATAAAAGATTACGGACGAGGGAAGGGGCGACGAGAATGTTATTGAGGGAGAAGTTTGCTGTGGCGGTGGGAAGGATGGAGTGACCTCTAGACGTGACCGGAATGCTAGTGCCATTGCCTACTGTTATAGAGGAGGTGGAGGGGGGTAGGCGCTGGAGGAGCATACCATCGGAGGACGCCATGTGGGATGAAGCGCCGAGTCAACAACCCATGAGGGGCTGCCTCGATACTCAAGTCTTCGCAGGCAGCAATGAGGTCGGCCGAGTCCCATGTCGGTCCACCGTTGTTGTTGGAGGAAGCTCGGACGGGGCGAACGCCGTGTGCGCTGAGGAGAGGCACCGAGCACCCCTCGTTGGCGTGGGGGCTGCCATGTGTGGTCGCCAGAGTCTTGGAACGCCTGGTCGCGCTTCCTCGTGGGAGGTATGACGCGCTTCACGGGGTTGACACGCACCACCCAAGGATCAAAACCCTGTGGCGACGCTGTCATCCACGCCGAGGGTTGTCGCGCGGCGGCCGCCGTTGCCGTGTTGTTGGCGCTGGCCGCCGTTGTTCGGCGCTGTTCGCTTGCCGGGCGCGATCGCCGCTTCGCGGACTCGGCCGGGGCGCCACTAGGGGCGCCGGTGAAGGCAAATGAGAAGGGTTTGGCGGTGCGGACCTTGTCCTCGTTCTTGAGACGCAGCTCCTTGAGGAGGAGTTGGTTCTCGCAACAAAAAGGTGAGAGGTTCCCGGGCAGCGATGTTGTCGGCGACGGATTGGTACTTCTCGTTGAGGCCGCGGAGCAGGTTGAGGACGAGGTTGGACTCGGTGATGGTCTGCCCGACGTCGCGAAGATTGTCGGCAACCTCCATGCGCACGCAGATATTTCGCCGATGGAGGTCGTCGCCGGGTCAACGAGTGGAACTCGTGACTTAGGAAAAAACAAGGGGCGCCTTGTTAGCTTGGTATAGGGGCGGCGATGGTCTGCCCGTAGCCGGCCGCGGTCTCCTGGCGCCGGGTCATAGCGAGGTTGAGGACGGAGTCGAGAGACGGTGCCAAGATCCAATCATGGATGCAGAAGTCACCGCACCCATGCATCATCGGTGGGCGTGGGGAGGCGACGTCAAGGTGCGAGAGCAGCCCGAATTTGCCACACATGGCGTTGAAAGCCGTGGACCACTTGGTATAGTTGGAGGGTCGCAGCTGAGGGGTCATGGGGATGTGGGTCTTGACGCTACCATAGCATATGGGCAAACGGTTGGGTTTATGGCTTCAGCCATGGCCGGAGAGGTGGCGGAGGTGGTGGAGGATTCTGTGGTCATGATGGCGCGGGCCATTGTTTGCGGCAAGTAGCAAGGTTAAGGCGGCACTCGTGGAGAGAGCGGCGCGCGCAGCTTGAGGGAGGAGAGGAGGCCAAGATCAGATTGCTCTGATTACCATGTAGAAGATGATGTTGGGGCAATAAGCCACACTCTCAATGGGAGAGGGGCGCCTCTATTATAGGGCAGCTGCTGCTGCTATATATGGCAGTTTACAAATACAAGGACAGGAGTAAATCTCTGATCCTAATTGACTGGACTGCCTAAATATGCAATATACAATCTCCTATTGCCTAATATATGCAATATACAATCTCCTATTGCCTAATACAGAGTGAAAAAGGTTTGACCAAATTTGCTGATAACCGCTCGAATGCATTGAATCAGTTTGCTGCAAGGTTTTGGCAAGCAGAGCAACTTCAGAAGGATTTCAGGTTTCCATACTTGTACAGAGCAAAGTTCAACTATTCTCTTGTATGCAGTGTACAGTGCAACCTGAAAAGGAGTAGGGGGTTAGTAGATGGAACTATGCATAGAACCTAGGTAAGTCAAGTTGGTCCTTGAACCTGAAGTTCTGCACTTTTGCTGGTCTTTACTGCTTTTTCGAGAATATTAACAATATCAACAGCTGTAGATTCAACAATATAGTCAGGACATGAAGAATGCAGTGCACGAAGACACGCTCCCATTGAGAAGTCATAATCTGCATCTCTGCAGAAACCAAGATAAAGCATTTTGGTAACGTGTCAGATTTCTGGATTCCAATAAACAAGGGGGAACCAAAATCTATGTTATAAGTTACTAATTCTATTTGATATATAAATCATTTTAGGCCTTGGCAGAAGTCAGGAACTACAGTAGCAGTGTAGCAGAGAATGTTGCCAGTCAAGACCTCGTTCATTACAAGGACTGTTTTCCTCCCCTCCAAAGGGACCTAATTCTTAATTCTCTCCCCAAGAGGAATGCATGGGAAATGATGACACATTTATTGATTAGAAATTTAGAATAGCATCCAATTAGCATGGGCAGAATAGGAACAAAAGGAGAACTTTGAATGAAAATTTTTAAGAAGAGCTGTAAAACGTTAAACCTACAATTGGAACCGTATGGAGTATGGATTTTCACATGAGGTAGGATGAAGTGATATGTCTAGTTGCAATTTCCTTTGACCTCGAACCCCGCAACAGTTATATGAATCATCTATCTGGATTTAATTTTAATATTGTCTTCGATGACCAAATAAACCACCCAATTACTGCCACCATTCAGATTTAGAGCGTGCCTTTTATTTTCCTGTGGGCTTGTTCAAATTTAGAAGGTGTAACTAGTTTCCAAGGAATTAATTAAAGTACAGTTATACATTTGTTAGTGGTTTTCTGCTTTGGTTCACAGGCAAGTTATTTAAGCAAAGGCAGTAATTGATCCACGGTCATGCACATACGCATGCGGCTTCATTTAATGGCTGTGTAACTAGTACATGGCAGGAAACAAAGCTTCAGAGAGTAATGTATACTTAATGAATTAAGCAAGTGCAATATTGTTGGCTATCATGCTCCTTGGTATATGAGCCAAAAAATGTGGGCCCTGAAAAGAAAAAAACTAGGGAGTATTTGCTAGGTATAGTCTAATTAGCAGCTGGTTAGCATGTAGGTTGGCAGCACATTCTTCACTTGAGTCAGTGCAAGGATGGAGAAAATAATAGGAAATTTGGTTTGATACAAGCAACTTGGAACTTGGAAGGACAATGATGCACATGCAGCACATAATAGAAAGGAAAATTATCTGAACATGAAGGTTCGTGCCTTTGTGGAGTCAAACAGCTAACGTGCTTGCATGCCTTTGTTGAAGAGAAAAATGTTGATCTCTTTTAATTTATCTAGCTTTCACATGCTCAATTTTTTTCCCGGTTGGCCAATACAGCAAAACAATACCAATGGTGCAGTCGTGGGCTAGTTGTAACAACCCAAAAATCCATACACCAAAAATACCAACTACAAAACTTTTTTCTCAAAACTCCCATGTGATGATGAGTGTCATGTATAGAAACCCAACCTAAGAGATGCATTAGGTCTAACCCCAACCTAAGTCAACACACAAGCATGGCATGCCATTGTTAATCATGCATATTTAAATACTAACAAATGAAACATGGCATATATTGTTAACTCAACTTGTGATTTGGATTTCCAATTGCCTTATGTTATGCTTAACAACTTCTTTAAAGAAATACACCCTGATGATGGGAGGAGCCCAGAGTGGAGGTGCTGTGGTGGCACGGTAAACGGAAACCCTGATGAAGACATTCTGGCTTGGTCATCCCTAAGGACTTACTAGTACTCAGATTCACCGGGAAGCCTTACGTACCACTCGCTCTATATGGTGCGGGACGGCCGGACTACTTGGTAGGATATTGCCACTACTGCTAGGTTGATAGCGGACAGTGTAATGAGGTACGGGGCGTGGAGGATTTCCCCCACACCCTTCCGAAACTTCATGGAGACCTTGTGGACCCGGTTCATGACTCACAGTTTCAGCCACCCCAGACTAGACTTGGGGTGTACCAGGGCTGAATGGTAGAGTGGCATTATCCTAGGCTAGCAAGCGGCCGGAATCAGCCCAGTTGACGACGGTCAGCGAGGAAGGCGAATCTTGTGGTTATGTAAAACCTCTGCAGAGTGTATGGTTGATCGATCGATACATATGCCGACTTGTCGGCTATGGACCTTTTCTGGGTTTCGCTTAAACTAGATAGTGAGATGAGTCCTTCTCTTCTTCCCCCCGGAAGTGAGTGTTCGGACGTAGCCAGGGGCTACGGGCCTTGAGACAGTGCCGAAAGGGAGTTGGCCTGTCGACTGAGCGATGGTATGGGTGTGGTATGGTGATGGTGTGGAGACGGTGGTATTTCGATCCCAGGATCGAAACCTGGCTCTGAAATGGGAATGGAGTGGAATGGGTGTGGGAATGGTGTTACAACTTGACCAACTGTTATTATATACTTGAAATGCTAATACATAGGAAACCCCAGCCTTATAGATTCCTTTCGATTATATCCAACTTGCATCCAATTTCCACAAAACAATGCTCATAGGGTGGGAGTGGCCAGTACAAATCGTACTGATAAATTTTGGCACACAGGTTCTGCTGAGGAGTATAGCTCCGAGGAGTTTGACGGTTGAGGGGTTCGTTCCTACGCTCGAGTTTGGCGATCTTATCTTCAAGCTGTTCTGAATGAATGCTACTTTTGATTCCGTCAATGCGGCGGTGTAATAAATTTATGTAATTCCGCACTATTTGTACTCTGATATTATCGTTGTATGAATGTGATATTCGACTGGAATTTGGGTAATATGATCTACAACGGTCTTATTACACTTCGACACTGTGGATTTCCCTTCGCGGAAATCGGGGTCGCTTCACTAGTTCTCATGCAGAAAATGGTTATAACTAGGGTGTCCTTTATGTGTAAGTGTGTTGCCTAGGGTAGTAGGGTTTGTCGTCTGGGCTATCATGGTTAGGGTTTTTCGCCGGTTTTCCATCTAATAAACCGCGTGTCTGTGTGGTTTTCAGGCCTAGTTTCCCTTATAAACCGGGTCAATTCCATTCTACTTAATTGAAAGGCAGATCTCCTGTCATTGCATTAAAAAAAATAGATTCAATTCAGATTCGAAGATGGAAAATAGTGAAACATCCAAGTTATATTCTTGTTCCCACCTTGAACTAAAGGCACGATGGACTCATGTGTAATTTGGGGGTGTACTGTGCCAAGATTTAATATAAGTCCCCCTTCCCTTAAAAAAAAGGCACGATGGACAAAAATGAAAAAATGCATAGCTGAGCAACTTTAAAGTGGTAGCTATCTGTTTCATTTATAATTTTACAGAGAGAAGTTCCAAGCAGTAACATCCAGTGACAGTAAAGAGAAATAGTATGTAAATGTAAATCTATTTCCAAAAACGCGTGCAAAGCAGCTAAAAAAAACAGATGCAAATTACAATCCAGCGTAACAATAACCCAATAGTGTCCAAGATCCAACTTATGTCTCCTCAATTGGGTGCAGTAATTTCAATAACTGGGAGCAATGAGTACGAACATAATTATACCTGATATCGGAGAGTTCACTAATTTCTTGGCTCAAAATGCATGTGATTGAACGAATGATGTTTTCTAGAGGAAGAATCTCAGAAGTCATTACTGTGGCAACAATACGTGCGAAATCAAAACAAACCTGTTGCAACGGATTGACTTTCAGATACCAAAGGATAACCAAAAGTTAAAGCTATTCATCAAGAGAGATACCAACCTTATGCAGAGAACCATCCCCATAGCAGAGGATAGAACAAGCAGCAGAAACAAATGGCATGTTAACAAGCCCATCAACATACAAGGTCCCATCTGTAAGACACTTGTTAACTAGTTTAATCAACGAAGTGGCAAATGGGCGCCATCTTGCATCGCCTGTCAGATCAACCAGCACGCCAGGTCCATTCTTAGGTCGGCAACTGGCTAGGAGCTCACTATAAGGCCCAGGTGTGTCTAATATATCCAAGAAGGATCCACAGAGGCATTTAACTAAACATCTTCCAGGAGGCACACCACTAGGACTTCTGTCATGCAATGATGCCACATATAGCACATCTGTTGGATTGGAAAAGGTCAAGTTTCAGCCCTTTCTGCATAATTATAGAATATAAGATGAACATAACAAAATGCATACCTTCTACCGCAACCATAGCATCTAGAAAGAATTGTCTGTAGGCTTCACGGTCACCTGTACGGAGAATGGAGAGAAGATTCCAAACTGCCTGGAATATAATCTCATGGCTCAACCTGCAATAGTGAAGAAAGAACATACATGTAAACAATAGGTGGGATGTTTAGCAAGTGAAATACGCCGGTGTGAAACTTATAGCACTACCTTATCAAATTACTTTAAAAAAAAGACTGCAAGGATGACAGCCACACACACTTGTAGTTCACATTTATACTATTATTACTATACATGTGAAGTCGTCCTTAGCCTACTAGGCCATTTTCCCTTTGACCCACAAGAAGAAATCCAAAGGTAAATTTATGCCCAGTTGCGGGTAACTTGGTACTCCTACTCTGGTAAATAACTTGGTACTCCTCTGGTAAATTAAGACACATGTTGCTAGGCACACTATACACTAATCACCAGTGGGTATCTGCACCTTTGGCCTCTTAGGCACAGAGATTATAAGCTAGCTCCATACCACGTCTGGATAGTAAATGGATTGGTACCGAATGGACAATATGCAACACCATTGCACAACTGTATCAATGGGGATAAATCTGTGTACATTTTTTTTAGGAAAAAAGTGTACAACATACGAGATCCCAATCAAACAGCACATTCATACCACAATAGCATCCGCAATCTATTCCCGAATAGAAGAAGCGATAGGACTAGGGTTTAACGGAGGCGAAAAGGAGGGGAAGGAAGGCAGTGCCTGAAATTGGGCTCGGCGAGGAACGTGAGGATGCGGGCGATGACGCTGAGGACGTCGGCGGCGCGGCCGTTGTAGAAGACCCCGGGGAACTTGAGCTCCGTGAAGGCGACCAGCTTCAGGATCGCGCTGACTTCCCTGAGCTCCCTCCCTGCGGCTGCAACCTCGGGCCCACAGCAACGGTCAGGCCAACCGCGGTCCGCGGGGGATGAACGTGGACGGAGGGGGCGAGAAGGGCGGCGCACCTTTGGGGGAGGTGACGACGTAGTCGCGGAGGAGGTTGGGGAGCACCTCGCGGAGCTTGACCTCGAGGTGCGCGGAGCCCGGCTCGGCGCCGTCGGGCGCAGTGGAGGTCGAGGTGGACTCTATGAGCGCGCGGAGCTCGTTGATGTAGGTCGCCATGGCGCCGCGATCGCCTCAGCCGCCGCCACCGGAGCTGGGGCGGCAGCGGGAGGGGCGGAGGGCTCGGCGGCGGCCCTCGCTGGCCTTCCCCGTTTTTTTCTTTCCCTCCTTTAATTTCGAACGGAAATGGTTTCGGTGTTCCCCTCTCCGGCTCTCCCACTCCGACAGGTTCGGCTGTTCGGTGTCCCCCCGCGTGGGCTCAATTGTGCCGCAAAGTATGCCCAATTTAAAATTCAGAGCGAATTGGGCTGTTTTGTTAGGGCAGGTACGGGACTTGGGCTAAAACAAAAACTGGGCCTATTTAGTGGAGTAGGCAAAAGGAAAAAAGCCCTCCTGCTCAACTATTGTGGTAGTCCGATCTATATACCTCTTTTAATACAAAACCAGATATTTGTATACCCCAAACTATTGAACCTACTTTCCTGAACGATTTTGAAAATGGTTTTAGGTGACATGGCGCCACATCAACTGTCCTACGTGATGCCCCATTAGCTGTCTTACGTGGCACCACATCAGCCACGAGTGAGGTAAATTGGATTTTTACATAGTCTAGGGAGGTTAATTAGACTTTGTAAAAAGTTATAAAATAATTTAAAAAAAATCAAATGTTTTTATAGAATAAATATATATTAGAATTTCTAAAATCTAATTTAATATTAGAAAATTTGTTTTAATAACTTATAAAAAAATATGAAACCAGTTACATGTGTTTCCTAAAATCATGCTCTACCTTTTTATTCCTTGCTTGGAATTATTTGAATCTTATATGATCTTTTATAAATTTTAAAACAGCTAGATATTAAACAAAAGGATGCAAATAGAGCCAGAACCTTTTTGTAGACTGCATCGTGAGTCATCGTGCAAACTAAAAAAAAAAGTTTCCTCAACAGCAATGTCTAGCTTTACCATCGAGACATCCATAGGAATTTTCAAATGAAAAAATATAATTCAAGGTTTGATTGCACATTAACAACATGTATCATGCGGTCTAACTTTGTAGCAGCATTGTCTTCTTAGGGACATCACAACAATTGTGTGTGTAGACTCATTGGACCATCAGCAGTAGACATCATGCAACTTCTTAGATTCTCGCCCGACATCTGAGAATTGACTCAAAACATTCGGGCGGATGCGACCGCTTCCTCGTCCATCGTCACCATCATAACTCTACGCATGCATCGAGAGCACATGATCAAGTAGAAAAGGCAGTTTGGATGGGCTCAGAATGGCAGACTCATGTGTTTTATAAAATCATGCTCTATATTATGATTCTAACTCTGAAAAGCACAGAAAATGGTTTTAGAAAAATACAATTTTAGGAAAAATATGCATTTGGTTTCATTTTTTTTTACTTGAAACAAATTTCCTATGATTTTCCTAACATTAAATAAGATGTTTAGTATTTTTAAATGTATATTCATTAAAAAAGTCTAGATATTTTTTTGAAAAAAAATATTTCTACAACTTTTTATAAAGTCCAATTGACATCCCTGAACTATCGTGAAAGTCCAATTTACTTCCTCATGGTTGACGTGACGCCATGTAGAACGGCTAACGCGGTGCCACGTTAGCCAAAACCGCTTTGAAAATTGCTCAGGGGATAAATCAGATGGCTTTAATAGTTTGATGAAGAGCATAAACATCCGATTTTGTAGTTGAAGGAGGTCAACTGGACTGCTACAATAATAAAAGGAAGCCAAGAGGACTTTTGCCTACTGCCAACCCATCCCAACGTGCCTTTTTTATACACCCAACTTGTCATGACCCATTAGCTTTCGAAGCCCATTTTCAAATGTCCACGTATCCTCCGAATCGAAATCCACCATGTAAACCCAACTAACCTACCCTGTTAGGATCTATTTGGAACATAGGAATTTATAAGAATTACATAAATCAATTCAATTTTATACGGAAAAAAGTAGAAATAGAAAAAAATTGGCATGTTCCAAAAAAGCCAGCAAGATGAGGCACTCCATCCATGTGCAGTCTCATACTCTCATCTCGTGTCGCTTGCCTTCCTCTCTCTAAATTCTGCAATGAACTCGTTGGTAGCTCGGTGCGCGCGTTGGAGTCGAATACAGAGCGCGGGAGCGCGTGATTTCTCCTCGCGCCTAGTTTCTTTGGATTTGAGGCAATTGTGATCTCCTCCTGTCTTCTCCCCCTGCGCCTTACTGACTAGCGTCTCTCCCATCCCAGCCATCCCTGCACCATGGGTCTGCTGGCGCTGAAGCGTCTCATGTCCGTCCAGCGGAAGCGACGTCGCCGGCGGCGGCGCGGACAAATCCGAGGCAAGCCTCTCCCCCTCTCGGTTATTCAGCACTGCTCTCATGCTATGTGGACTTCCTGTCATCTGTAGCCTCTTCTTCTGAATAATAATGCTCCTGTCGCCACAAAACGGGAAAAACTTCTCTCTCTCTCTCTCTCTCTCTCTCTCTCTCTCTCTCTCTCCCTCTCTCTCCAATTTGGTGAGAGCTTACTGATTGATTCGTCTAGACTGACCCAAGCGAGCCCGCCAATGTTTATTTGGCAGTAATCTGAGATGGTACATTGGTACTAGTACCATGGGTGTATGAACAGTGTTCGATTTGTCGATTCTGCCTGTTTATCAGTTGCAAGTATGAGCAAGTGTGTAACTGAGTTAGCACCACAAATATGAATTAGACAACATTGGTGGATAAAAAAAAACTTTAGATTTGTTCTGTTGCTCCTTCTATTCTCTGTATCTTCCCTGCCTTTACTATATCTTCTTTGAAACAATAATCAGATATTATATTGTTCATGTCTTTAGTTTATCATACTTCATAAGCTTCTTCTCTTCTGTTCTTTGTATGTACAAGGTCCCTGAAATCATTTGAGAGGTCTCAAGTTATAACATAACATAGACCATATATTTTAAGGTAAAAAAAATATGTATTTAGGAGAGTGAGCCATTGTCTACCTTGATTAGTTCCTTGTTTTGCTTCAAATCAGCACATCCTCGCTAATGCGAAGGGTATGTTTCAACTTTCAACAGTTGGATCACCAGACCACAAGTTTGACACGGTAGCCCAATCACATGAAAAAACTTCCTAATTTCTAATTGGGTTCCATGTCTGACAGCGTGCTGTTGAAAATTGGCAAGAATTTGTAGAAAGAGAACCAAAGTTAACAAAGAAACTGAGTGGTAAACTTCAGAACAGCGAAAGAACTGTATAATAGATGAAAATGCCTACCAGCCTAGTGTTCATATTTCAGTTTTTCAATAGGATCATTGCAGGAACACTTATGAACAAATATCTAGTTGGTATATGTGTAAACTTACTTTCTAGATTAAGATCTACTGCAGATACTATATACAGCAAAGGCCCCTTTTTTATTCTGATATTTTTTGCACGCATTGTGGTGGCGAGGCTGGTACTAAAGTCCTATCCCAAAAAATGGTCTGTGATTTGTCTTTTCCTAACTACAAGTAGCAAAGATTATTGAGTATGGATTGTGTACTCACATATTACTGAGACATCAGAAATCATATAAAATCAATTTCACTTTACCTATAATTCTGTAGTAATCCTCCACTAGCTTTTTAAAAAAAGTAATTCTCCACTACAAGCTGCAGGCATTGCAGTTGCAGACTCACACATAACAAATCACAGTACCCAATACGATGAGTGCCTGCAAATTGTTACTCTTGATCACATGCCATCCTATCCCGAGCTTGACCTTTGCTTCCATTTGTTGTGTGGCAGAAAAAGGTGCTAACAATATAAGCATATCATCTGATTGAAAGATACCACAATGTGGAATCAATCTTTCAATATTCATTTATATACCTCACACAGGCATATCGTCGAATAAGTTGTGTGTAGCGTCTTGAGGTCAACCGCGTCATCGGAAGTGATCGTTGGTGGTGATAGGCAGTGTGGGTGGGTGGGATGCAGAAACAGCTGTCCCATTCGGCTTGGGGATGGCAGGTGGCTTTGGGCCTGCCGGCTGCCCGTTCTGTGATTGTACCTGGAGTGCACAGAACAGACTTAGCCATGTACTGGTGTGGGCATAGGCGTGTAGCCATCTGCTATGAGAGAGAGCAGACGAGTGGGTAGAGGTAACATCCATGTGGAGGCATGGTTCACAGGCGACCGAGGTCGAGGGGTGGAGACTTGCTCTGTGGCAGGGGGGAGCATGGCTCGGCTCACGATGGTCCATCTCTCTGATGATAACGCGTAGGGGCGTAGGGGTGACCGAGGTCAGGGACAGGGCCTCTCTACCACGCTGATGGGGTCAGTCTGCGTTAAGCATACAGCTAGCGTTCCTTCTGAGCCAGGCTCAGGTTTAGTTTCTCCCAAACTTCCAACTTTGGCACTATGTAAAAAGAAGATTCTCCGTCACATCAAACTTGCGGTACATGCATGGAATACTAAAAGTTGACGAAATTAAAACCTAATTGCACAGTTTAGTTGTACTTTGCGAGACGAACATTTTAAGCCTAATTAGTCAACGGTTGGACAATTATTACCAAATACAAACGAAATGCTACAGTAGGAATCTGACACTATGCAAACTTTGCACATCCAAATTCCGGCAAACTAAACGCGCCCCAGGATGATGGCGTGGGAGGGTCTAGGGCTCTAGGCTCACAGTGGGCATCGATCTGGGGGCTGGAGCCGATCTCTTCAGTGGCCAGCGGCCGACACTCTGCATGGCATCATGCGACATTGGAGGCTGTGGCCTGCCACGGCGAAGTGCTGCCGCCAGGCACCAGGCACCCGTGGACGTGGCAGCTTGCCCGCGTGCCGGAGGTGACGAGTTGGCTCGATCCGACGGTTCACAGGTTAATGTGTGACGTGGATAATGTGCCCGCCTGCAGTTCGCCCCACAGATTCTGTTACAGAAATTCCAAGATAAAGAAACTTTGGTTTAGTCATCGATTTTCTGTAGTAATATCTTATGGATGATATGACATTAGCCATCATATGCTTGCACAAAACAACAGTATTGGGTGCCAATGCCTTAGTGTGGCAGAAAGATTAGATTAGAGTATAGACTATGAGGGATGAACAAAGGGTGTTGGGTGGGGGAATCTATGTCACTGGTGGTTGGGCCCCACAACAATTCTCTGTTGGATTAAATGGACTTGATGTGGGTGAAGATTGTAATATCTTGCATAAGTACATAGGTCAATTGAAGTTCTTTTCTTATACTGACACTAGTCATGTGGTATAAGCTTATCAGTTTTATTGCGTAACATTTTTTCTAACAAACTAATTGCATCTTTATGGGGAGTCCATGTGCTTGATCTTGCATTTATTTTGTATTAGCGTCTTTACTATTTACTTGTCATAACTGGAATGTGTTGCATTACAGATGCGAAAGTTGCTTCGCTAGCTAATGGAAAGGATTCCAGCTGCCAACAAGATGGTAGTCCTCAAGGTTGCAAAAGGAGGAGATATTCTGGACCAGACCTGCCAGAGGTATGTGGTAAAATGCAGATTATCAAAGTCCCATAAATTGGCCAAGGAAAATGATTCTGTATATTGGAACATGTTGAATAACTTTACTGACTATACATAAGTGTTTGTATGTAGTTGGCTGGGTGGGGAATCAAGAATAAGCAGAGAGGATAAAGGCCCCACATGTGGGCATAGGTCACAAATAGGTGGACTTATGCTGTCTAAGTAGAACCTACCAGCTGATGAATCTTATCTTTTATCTCTGCAATCTCCAATGGTCCTACTGCATTCATACTCTTGCTTTGTTCAAGCTATTACTGATACGACTCCCGAGCAGAACCACTCAAGTAGTCTGAAGACCTCTACACTTAGCCTACACAATGCCTTCACCCTTCACTGTTATGGTACATCCACCCAAGCTTCTCTGCAACACACATTGTGCCTCTACTTCTATGCCCAGTCTGTGTTGCCCTATTGGCCTGTATCCAAGATCATCCTGTTCCCCCCATCATTTCGGATGACAGGGACAACTTGTGTCTCTTCACTTGCACAATGATCTTTGGGTGGTATACTATTACGTAGACCTTTTTTTTTCAAAGCAACATAGTATTTACCAAGGTATATATATTGCATCTTGCACTTTAGCTACAGAATCTTCTGGAGATTGTTGCACTTGTAGGGTGCTCAGGCTGTTTGAATATTCGGTGCACTCTTTTTATTTGATTTAAAATGTCAGTGTTTATTTCTGCTTGTTTGCTTCTCACGCCTTTTTCTAGCAAGCGCAAACAGATGCATCTTGGTTTGGACAAATATCACATAACCCAATATTGTTAATATCATGGGAAGGGATGTTTAAGGGAGGAGGATGGTGTAGATTGTAGTCATGCCATGTTGAACCCAATATTTGTTAATATCATGGGAAGGGATGTTTAAGGGAGGAGGATGGTGTAGATGGTCATGCAATGTTGAACCCAATATTGTTAATATTTTTTTCGCGAACGTGCACTGTAGTACGTATTTCATTAAGAGGAAAAAGAGAACATCCAAACAAACAACGCCAGCGTCGACCGAAGGTAACCAAAGGTTGCCCCGACGAGCTGCACAAACATAAAACAGAGTGGCAAACGAAAAACCAGAGGAAGTCGGCAGCGACCACATAAGAGACTAATTACATGAATGAACTGAGCGACGACAGGGTCGAATACCTGGCCCACAACCACAAGGCGGCCTCCCGTAGGATCTCCAAACACAGCTCGCGAGCGTCCTTGGCTTCATTCCTAAAAGTCCGTGTGTTGCGTTCCTTCCAAAGCACCCATCATGTTAGCATGACGAGCGAATCAAAGCCCTTCCTGCTGCCTTGGGGCACCCTACGCCTAGCCCAGGTCCACCAGAGGAAGGCTGACACAACCCAGCAGGATATGATCCAGAGTCTTGGAGGTTTGAAGACACATGATGCAAGTGTCATTGTCCTGCAGCCCATGTCGCATCCGCTGATTCACGGTCCAGCAACGACGATGCAGAGCCAACCAGAAGAAGAACCTGACCTTGGGCGGTTCGCGCTCTCCCAAATCAACTTAGCACCGAATGGCGAGATCGATCCGATGAACATCGCACCATACGCCGACGCCGCAGAGTACTTGTGGTCAGCGGACCAACGCCAGATGATGGAGTCTGGAACCCCCGGCATGAGCTAGACACCGTGAACCCGCTCCCAAAGGTCCAGGTACTGGAGGAAGACCTGAACAGTTTGTGCCCCAGTTATGTCGGACACCCAGGCGTGATCATCCAGACCCGACGCCACAGACCGTATCCTCGCCTTCGCCTGGGGGACTGAGGCGAACACCGCAGGCGCAATTTGGTCAACATAGCACCCATGAATCTAGGAGTCTTGCCAGAACAGCGTCGAGCTCCCGTCTCCGACCACCGTCATGGTTGCTGCACGAAAGAGGGCACGCGTGGCCTTGTCTGACGACGACGGAAGGTCGATCCAAGTTCTGTTCGGGTCAACCTTCCGCACCCAATCCCAGCGCAGTCTGAGAGCTAGACTGAACCTTCGCAGGTCGATGATGCCGAGACCACCGAGCTCCTTGGGCCTACAAACCACCTCCCACGCCACGCGACACATGCCCACGCTCACTGTGGCCGACCCAGTCCAGATGAACGATCGACGTAGCTTATCGATGCGGTCGACCGCCCATGGCGACAGGCACACGGCAATGGAGAGGTGCACCGGGATGGCCGAGAGCGTCGCCTGTGTCAACGCTACCCTGCCTGCAATGTTCATGAGATGACCTTTCCAAAGCGGAATACGCGCTGCGACGGCGTCAATGAGGAATTGCTCCTCGCTCCGGCGCAGCTTGCGAGTAGAGAGAGGGATGCCCAAGTACTTGCACGGAAAGGCTCCGATTGTGCAGGACAACATGTTCTCAACCAGCTGAAGCTCCTCCTGTGAACAGGCAATCGGGTTGGCGACACACTTGTCCAGGTTTGTGTACAAACCCGACGCATCGCCGAAGATCTGCAGGATGGTTTTGATGGCGACGATGTCGTTCACCTCTGGCGTAATGAACATGATGACATCGTTTGCGTATAACGACACCCGTGAACACACCGTGGCGCACCGGAGAGGTGAGAAGATCGACTGGGACTCAACCCACCGGATGAGTCCGCCAAGCACCTCCATAGCTAGGACGAACAACATCGGGGACAAGGGGTCACCTTGCCGCAAGCCTCTGGCATGGCAGATGCGGTTGCCCGGTCTGCCGTTGAGGAGGACCTTGGTGCTAGCCGATCCAAGGAGGATAGACATCCAGTCCCTCCACCGCTGACTGAAGCCGAGTCATTGTAGGACCTCCAAAAGGAAAGGCCAACAGACGGAGTCGAAGGCTTTCACAATATCGATCTTGAGGAGGAGGCAACTACGCTTCTTCTGGTGCAAGGTCTTGCATTTCAGGTGAACGGCGCGGAAATTATCATGTATGGACCGTCCCTGGATGAACGCGCTCTGACAGGGATGCACCGGATCATTGAGCACCAGAGCAAGCCGACGGGCAAGACATTTGGCAATAAGCTTTCCAAAGCTATGCATTAGGCTGATCAGGCGGTAGTCTCTGATCTCCTGGGCTTCATTCTTCTTTTTGAGGAGAATCATGAAGGCATCGTTGATTAAATTGAAGCTGCGCCCGTCCAGCGACCAGAACGCGTTGAAAGCGTTGTCGACGTCTTGTTTGATGATCGGCCAGGCTACTTTGTAGAACAGCCCGGTGAAGCCGTCTGGCCCCGGAGCTTTGTCCGACGGCAACTCCGAGATGGTCACCCAGATCTCGAACTCGGAGAAGCAGATGTCCAAAGATGGATAAATCGTCTTTGGGTGAGACCCGTGTTGTCGAAATTCACGAAGGGCGCTTTCGATGGAACGGAGTGCCGAGCGGCCGCCGTAGTGGTCATACATCTACGTCCGCCATCTCGCTCATTGAGGACAAGGTCATTCCCTCGACCCTGGCGGGTGATGTGGTTCTTTCGATCGCGGTGGCAAGCTCGAAGATGGAAAAACCTCGTGTTGGCGCCCCTTCGCTAGGGAACATCAATCTGGAGCGCCGCCTGGGCGATTGTTCTTGTGAGGGACGCGAGGCCAAGGCATTTGCATTTCATGTCCTTTCTCGGCCGCAATCTCCTCAGTCGACAGGGGTCGCAGGTCTTGTGCGCAGTCCAAACGCAAGATGACCTCGCGTGCAATGGCTAGCTGCAGCTGGACGCTCCCGATTTTGCGCATACTCCAACTTTTCAGCGCGCGCGACGTTCCTGAGTTTGTAGTCCATGATACGGAACGCGTCTACATGAAGCAAGGTCGGTTCCCATGCCGAGGCGACGACGTCGAGGAACCCAGGCAGATTTGTCCAGAAGGACTCGAACCGGAAGCGCTTGCACGCCCAGGGAACGACATCCGTGTGCAGGAGAAGGGGTGCGTGGTCCGAACAGTCTGACGAGAGCGCTCGCAGCTGGTGGTTCGGGTACAGTTCCAACCAATCCACTGAAGCGAAAGCGCGGTCAATGCGCTCGAGCGTTGGTTGTAGGCGCTCGTTAGTCCATGTGAGCAGGCGACCGTTGAGGTGTAACTCCTCGACCGCCACCGCTCCTAGAAAACGCCCGAAGCGGCGCATACACCGGCGATCAAGGCGGTCGTTGTTCTTATCCGCCGCGCGGTAGATCATGTTGAAGTCCCCGCAAAGGAGCCAGGGACCCAGCAGCGAGGAGCGGAGAGTTGCGAGCTCGTTAAGAAAAGCCTGCTGGGCATTAGCATCCAGCGGACCGTAAACGACTGTGATCCACCAGGCCAGCCTAGGATCAGAGCGACTGGCGATTTTGGCAGTTACCGAGTGTGACTGCAGAGACACATGCGACGCCGACCAGGCGTCCGTCCTCCAGCTGAGGAGAACTCCATCGGCGGTATTCACAGCAGGCAACAAGGCATACTCAAATGATGTTCCTAGGCATTCAGAAGCAAGTTGGTTGTAGACATTGGAGAGCTTAGTCTCCTGCAAGCAAACGAGCGACACCCTCTCCTGGACGATCAAGTCCCTAACGACGTTGCACCGCGCGTGACCATTGAGGCCACGGACATTCCAGACGAAGATGTTTTCGTTCGACATGGACAACAATTGGCGACAAGGATGCAGAGGTTGCCTAGACCTCAAGCTCGACCCCCTCGACAACCTGGATGCCGTCGATCTCACAACCAGCCGGGAACAACATCCTGATCGCTTCCCGCTTGGACTCCGAGAGGGGCCCGCTGAACAGGTACTCGTCGAACTCGCCGTCCGCTCCAGTCTGTGCAGCCGCTGCTGCGGCGTTCTCCCCACTTGGCCATCAACACATTCTGTGTCTGCACCGTTGGGTTGGGTGCCCTGCATCTGCTCTTGGCTGTGAGCCTGCCGCTCCGATGCAGCGTTGAGAGCGCGTTGTCCACCACACGGCGCCTCCTGGGGGCACGTAGCCGTGGGGGCTCAACTAGAAATATCATGGGAAGGGATGTTTAAGGGAGGATGATGATGTAGATTGTAGTCAGGCAATGTTGACATTGTTTTGGCCATTGACCCCACGGGGCAGGCGGTAGGAGAGTGGGAAGACAGATCGATGTATTGTTTTTCAGACATCAGTTTATATATTGCCGACATTCCCCAACAACCTTCCTATCCTCGTATCCAAGCTAAACCAATCTGCTAGACCAAATAGCTAGCCTAACTGAAGCCTAACAAATATAAACAGCATACCAACTTCTGCCAAAAAGAAGCTTAGGCCTGATCTTGGCCTGGAGATTCTCTGCGCTGTCCAATCCGGGACACCTCTTGCGCTTTTTCATATTTTGATACTTCACATGACAGTTAACTGCTCATGCTTCAGGAATACACTTTGTAATTGCTAACCTTTACTCTTTGTAAAGACATTAATAGGCTGTTAGTGAAAATGATATAGTGACCTTTATACAATGATCAACCTAATTATCGCAGTGAATGTAGTATTAGTACACTATTGATCTCTGCATTGCATTGACTATTGTGCAATCTAGCACAGTGCACCTATGGTTACATGTTACTCTCCTTTTTTGCCTTCTTGCTGTTTACAATTCAAACATTAACTTTTCCACACCTATATGCAGGACATACGGCGTCATATACGTTTCCTGATGCCACTGCAAGATGCTGCCCGCGCTGCCTGTGTGTCTCGTGCCTTTCTAAGTTCCTGGAGGTGTCGCCCTGACATTACCATCAGCTGGAAAACACTAGGCTTGGATAAGAATTTTCATGGAAAGGATGAAATTGCAAAGGATTTCAACAGCATAGTTGACCAGATTCTGAAAAACCGTTCAGGCATTGGCTTGAAGACTCTCAAGATAGATTTCTGTGATTATAAAGCTGACACTTATTCTTATCTTAATAATTGGCTTGAGATTGCTATTACACCAGAGCTTGAAGAACTCACCCTAGATCTGTTTTCAAGAAAGGCGAAGTACAGTTTCCCGTGCTCCCTTTTATCTAATGGGAGAGGAAACTCGATTCAGCATCTAAAGCTTGTTTGGTGCGCCTTCAGTACCACAGTCAGGCTAGATTGCTTGAAAAACCTGACTAGTCTGCATCTGCGTGACGTGCATATTACAGGGAATGAGCTAGGGTGCCTCTTCTCTAGTTCATCCGCTTTGGAGCGATTGGAATTACATGGATGCCATAGGATAGTTTGCTTGGAGATACCTTGCCTCCTACAGCGTCTCAGGTATCTCAGGGTGTTTGCATGTGAGAGGCTGAAAGTGATAGAGAGCAAAGCTCCAAATATATCCAGTTTTCATTTATCAGAATTCCAAGGAAAATTCTCACTTGGAGAATCATCATTGCAACTGAAGGACATGATGCTGAGCATGAACTGCACTATCTCCTTTGCTCGTGCCAAGCTTCCATCCATCGTTCCAAATCTTAAATCTCTTTCCTTAGCTTCAGACTATGAGGTTTGTATTGAACGACCCTCCAGCTTAGCTATCCAATACTGGGAGTTGTACATTTTAGTTAATGAAAAGTCTGATACAGTAGCTAATTTGTGGGATGGTGTAAATCTCAAGTGTACTTTCAGAAGATGTGTGGACAATAGGTTAATGTATCTTTGGTTAGAAGTTGTACAACTAGCTTCTACTATTTCGTTTAGTAATGATGATGATGCTTTGATATGGAGGTTCACTTCTAATGGAATATATTCTTCTCAGTCTTTATATAAGATAGTCAATTTTAGAGGTATTTTACCAGTCCATGTACCTGCTGTTTGGAATCTGAAAATCCCCCCTAGAGTACATTTCTTTCTTTGGCTTTTGTCCAAAAACAAGTTGTTAACAAGAGATAACCTAAGTTTAAGAAGGAAAGTAGAAGAGTCTTGTCTGTTTTGTGTAGAAGCTGAATCTGTACATCACCTCTTTTTTGATTGTGTGGTTGCAACTCAATTGTGGGTTTGTCTTGCTGAGGTGATTGGCAGAAATATAGGTAGATCTTTTGAATCTATTGGAGTCATGTGGCTAAGTAATAAGAAATTCCTAGTGGATAATATGTTTTGTGCTGCTACCTTGTGGGGGATTTGGAAGCTGAGAAATAGTCTATGTTTTCAGGGCTGTCTTTGGAAGGATATGAAAATTCTTATCCAGCACGTTGTCAATATGATCCAGAATTGGAGACTGCTCTGTCCCAAGGAAAAACTCCTGGAGTACAATCTGAAACTGGAGAAGCTGAGGAATATGGCAACAAGGCCTCATCTGCTGCCTGGATGTCCCTGCTAGGCCCGGGGCGGCGATGAACGACGCCGGTGAACACTCAGTCTTGCCGGAGAAGATGAACTGCACACCCACACGCGCGAACACTTGGAACGAAGGACACGAGAATTTGATGGTGCCAAAAGCGCAGCGTTTTCTGATCTTGAGTTCTCCTTTTATTGTATGAAAAATACAGAGAGAGCAGAGCTCTCGGAGGCCGACTGCACGCGCGTGCGACGTCGCCCACTCCCGATCACTCGGAACATGGTGAGCTATTCTCGGCCACTTCCCCTACACGCACGGCGACCACAGAATGACGGTGCTCGTGCGCATGCATAACAGAAAGTAAACATGCAAGCCTATCTAACTTACAGGCGCAAGACTTAACTAACAGTCCCAGGTAGAGCAGGACTGGAAGAGGTACCTCTTCAAGTATGCACATGATTGGCACCACCATGCCCTCCCGGAGGATGTGAAGGATCATGTCGTCAGCTGTGAATAGTTGGTTGGAAAAACGTGTGATAACAAGTGGCTTAGCTTGGCTGAATTCAAATCTGCTTGGCTCATGTAATGGTGGGGTTGGTGTGTGCTTTGTTAGCGCTCGATGATGAGCTGTGTTCTTTGTTAAACTAGATAAATGCTGTAAACATTTTTGTCTTGGTTAATGCTAAGGCTGGGGCATGGCCCTTAAACTCTAAAAAAAAAGGTTTGTATTGAACGCTAAGGTGATTATAGGGTAGGTATGTGCTTATTAGAACTGTGGTTTTAATCTTGGAATCTGAGAAATCTTTTTGCAGGTGCCTAATACACCACTGGTGTCAAAAACATTCCTCCATCTCAAGTATTTGAGTATTACTCTTTCTGAAGGGGCATTTTCCCCATATTATGATTGTTTCTCTGTGGTTTCTTTTCTTGATGTTGCCCCGTCCTTGGAGACTCTACTGTTGGGTGTAAGTCATTGTTAATCCTGGAATGGCATATAGTAACTATGGGGCCCAGACCACTAATTTCCCCATATTGGCTTTTCATCTTCAGGTAACACAATTACGGATGAAGCATGAGCCGTTTGTTGGAGAGCCTTCGCCTCAGAATCAGATCATGGGAACCCGCCACAGCAACCTTAAGAGTGTGAAGATCAGTGGTTTCTGCTCTGCAAAGAGCTTGGTTGAGCTAACATGCTATATTCTTGAGTATGCTACATCACTTGACTGCCTTACGTTGGACACCACTTGGGGTTTTTTTCCCTAGGTGCTCTGATCACGAAATTAGCAAATGTCCACCATTGACCAAGAATATCATCAGGGACTCCCAGAATGCTCTCCTGGTTATCAGAGCATGGATTGAGGGGAAAGTTCCCCCCTCGGTGAAATTTAATGTTCTTGCGCCTTGCAGCAAGTGCCATAATGCTGATGAAGACTGAGCAACCATAGTTATAAAATGTACTTATAGTTTTTGATGAGCTCTGCTCTGGGTGGAAATTATGCTATTGTTTATGTTTGGCTACATTGTTGCAACTGTGTCTATGGCTCTATGCTTGGCTACATTGTTGTAATTGTAATTGTTCATGCTTGGTTCAATTGTTGTGACTGTACTTTGTGTATTAATCTATCACGTTGTCTAGTACTCCCCCCTTCCATAATAACGGCACTTGTTTTTTTCTCGAATACGCACAAGCGATGCGTATCATTCTATTAGGTAGAAAGAGTTTGAGCAATACAAGCCATTCCACGGCCGCGTTAGTGTTTTGCAAGTGCTACATTTTGAAACAAACAACATTCAAGGGTGACCATACCACCTACAGGCGAGACAACGTTTCAAGCCCCCGTGCGCCGGCGTCGATCCACCGATCGGCCTCGGCCTTGACTAGCTGCAGCACCTCGATCACCGATGAGGATGCCTCCCTGAAGCACCTGGCGTTTCGTTCCTTCCAGATGGTCCAGCAGACTAGCGCAAACAGTGAGTCAATGCCTCGGCGCCGGACACCATTGTATGCCGCTCGCAGTCGTCGCCACCATCGCAATGTTGTAGTTGCGGCTGGTTGTGGCAGTGGGCGTTGCAAGGCTTGGAGAATGTGGAACCAGACCTCTCTGGTGAAGGGGCACTCGTCCAGGATATGATCAATGGTTTCACGCCCTTGGTCGCAGAGGTAGCACATCTCCCTTGCTTCTAGCCCGTGCCTAGCTCTCCTGTCTTCGGTCCAGTGGCGTCGTCTGAATGCCAGCCAAAGAAAGATCTTGATCCGTAGTGGAGCCCAGGTTTTCCAAATGAGTTTGTGACCCAAGAACGGAGTGGATGTTGAATGCAGCATGTAGTAGGCAGATTTCGCCGAGTAAGCTCCATCGTTGGCCCAACGCCAAACGGTTCGGTCTGGTTGATCGTTGAGTTGTATGTGTTGCAGCATATCCCACAGTGCCAGGTACTCATGGATATCTTGCATTGATATTCCTACAGAGATGGACTGCACCCAGGACCTGTTGAGCAGACCCTGCCGCACGGTCTGTCTTCTGCACGTTCTTAGAGGCACGAACTGACATAAGCACGGAGCAATGTCTGGGACGGATTCACCGTGTATCAACTTATCTTCCTAGAACAGTGCTTGACGCCCATCACCAATCAACGTGTAAGTGGAGGTCTTAAAGAACGCCAGGACTTCAGGCGATGTCTTGATCGGCAGCTGACCCCACGCCCTATCCTGATTAGTCTTCTGAAGCCACAGCCACCGTGCTTGCAGTGCAAAACCGGTGAGCTTTAAGTTGCTGACGCCTAATACTGTAACTAGTGATGCCCGATTAGCACAGTGGCTGTTTTTCTGGTAAGAGAGCGATGCCGCTTGTGTATGTATATACACTAAAATGTTAATGTAGGTGAAACTGAGCCTGGACTTGTCTGGGGTCGTTGTCTCTGACTCTTGAGAGGGTTTCAGACACAGACGCAGCGACCCTGCAACGTACGGGTACGGCAGGACATGGGTTCATGAACCTGGGGCAGCCAGCTCGTCGCGTCAGCAACCAGCAAAGTAAATGCTCTATATTTGTTGACCTTCTGAACAAACAAGTTGCTGTTGTCGATGATGTGTTGTCTTTCTTATCCAATACAGCAACAATTTAATCAGTTTCAGTGGCGAAGACGGATCAGTCGATTGAGATTTGCATGCTGGAAAGGCCAGGCCATATTCGCTGGGCATTTCGTTTCCGTCTCTCGGCTCATGGTTCACTGACCTGATCACGAGCTGACGTGAGGCGGGTTTTTTATCTCTAGCTACAGCATGCGAACCAAAGTCAACTACGATGCTGTCAAATGCCAAAATAGTACTCCGCGGTTTGGCCAATGGGACGCTAGTCAACGGCCCCGCAGTGGGGGCGCCGGATATCCGGTCGGTGATGCCGGCGGTGCCGTGCGGCCGTATGCCGTCGGGATTCGGGACCAGTACAAAAGCCGGCGGTCGGGTGCGTGAGAACCGAGAACTGAAGAGCCCCAACCACGACATCAGCTAGCTCTGCCTCTGCCCGCCGATGGAGGGAGGCCAGCACCGAGTGCACCCGCAGCCGCCGCTGCAGCGGGTGGCGGTGGGCGAGCACACTAGGCTCGGCGTCTACCACGACGTGCTGCGCCGCCTCAGGGACGCCGGCGAGGCCGAGGCGTGCGCGCCGGGATTCGCCGACAGGCTCTGGGCGCACTTCCACCGCTTCAGCGTCAGGTACGCGCTGGAAGTGAACGCCGAGAGGGCGGAGGATGTTCTGGTGCACATGCAGCTGCTCGACAGGGCTAAGAGCTCGGAGACGGAGAACCGGCCTGCCTTCTCTGTCAGAGTTGTTCAGGTGCGATGTGGCCCAGCAAAATCGGCTCTTGTTTCTGAATCAGCTTCTCACTTTGTATCAGCAAGCAGCTGTGATGTGTTTCTGAGCCACCTGATGTGTCATGTGCAGGTGCCTCCAGAGATTGATGCCACCGAGACCGATTCTGCCGAGCCCAATCCGACTGAAGAGGGCGGCGACTCTGCAACCCCAAGAAAACTGGCGTATGCTGCTTCTCGCTTATTTACCTTTCAGCTGATCACCATGAGATACCGATCATCCTCGTTCTAGTTAACAAATTTCAGTGTTTGCCCCCTCAATGATCTTTATGTTGTTTGGTTCATCAGTGTGCACCCAGAACCCATTTTTGGCTCCTCACGGAATCTCAAGGCTCTTGTTCGTGAAGCCAGCAGCAGGAACCTCCTGGATGACGGCGATGGTGATGCTATTCTCAGGTTATTTCTCTGTCAGTGGAATACCAGCGCCTACATTCATGTTACCGGCTCAGACCTTAAAAAAATAAATTACAGAATCCGTCGGTAATCCGCGAGACGAATTTATTAAACCTAATTAATCCGTCATTAGCACATGTGGTACTGTAGTACCACATTGTCAAATCATGGACTAATTATGCTTAAAAGATTGGCCTCGCAAATTAGTCGTAAACTGTACAATTAGTTATTTTTTAGTCTATATTTAATACTCCATGCATGTGTCCAAACATTCGATGTGATAGGGAGTAAACTTTAGGAGGAGGAACTAAACAAGGCCTCAATTACATAGTCTCGAAATTCTATGGTACTCGTTTGTAGTTTGTGCAAACTTGGGTTGTAAACAGATTATATACATATACCTCCTTTCAAATGTTGTTTAGCAGTCCATGTTACTCTTACTTGACGGTTTTTTTTTTTTTATGTACTAGTATAGAGAAATGCTCTCCCGTTTCAAATTATAAGACGTTTTAGTTTTTTTAGATACATTGCTTTTACTATGTATCTAGAGATAGTGTATAGATAAATATATATAAAAAACTATGTATCTAGAAAAGACAAAATGCCTTGTAATTTGGAATAGAGGGAGTATCATGCTTATGCCATCTTCAGCTGTTTATACTCCTATGCATATGTTCACAATTGTTCCTACCACCCTGCCTGTTTGGTTTATCATGTAGTACTATGTATATGGTTGGTTGCACACAAAACTATGTATCTAGAAAAGCTAAAATTTTCTTTAACGAAACACAAACTACAAAATTTCCTAGATCTCTTAGATTCATATCTGCCAACTTTGACCACAAGGCTACCAATGGACTAGCATAATGTTGAAAGGGGATTTGTACCCAGCACTGTAAATTCTCTGTCTTTTGTATGCAACGTCCAGACATTCCAAAATACTATTCGCTAATCAGGTGTTTAGTGATAATCATGTCCTTGTTATTTTTTCAGTTGTGGTTGCTTGTTAACAGTTCCTTGTTCAAATCGTTATTTCAAAGGTCAAGCCAACTGCACCCAATGAGGAACTGGTGTATGCTTGTGCAGTAAAGCACTTAGATAAATATAACAAAATTCTAATTTTGTCTCCATTTGGCTACCTTTTCTTATCTTGCAGACCCATGCATGAGATCACCTTTGCGTCCAACGACAGGCCAAAGGGCCTTACTCAAGTACGTTTGTACCATAAGATAGATATTCTCTTAGCCTGCATTATTTGTATTTTCATTTGTCTATCGTATTACCTGAGGTTTGGAGGCTATATGATGCTAACAGTGTCATCACGTCTCAGTTGTCTACACTTTTAGGCCAGCTCAATCTTGACATCAAGGAAGTACTTGCACTTTCAACAAATGATGGCTACTTCTTAGATATTTTCATTGTAGTTGGGTGGGATCACAAGGTATCCTTATCCAAACCTCTCCACTTAGCAAACACTTGGTTTGAAACTCTCTGCAGTTGTGTTGCTCGTGTTCCCTTCACACGCAGGAACATCAAGTTTTTCATGATGAAACCATTCCAATATTTATCTCTGTTTTAACCTTTATTTATTGAATTGCTAGACATATTATACTCCCATGACATTTTCTTGATTCCAGTACACTTGTCGGTTAGGAGTGAAGTCTTACTTTTTATTATGCAGGAAACTGGACAGCTTGAAGAAGCATTAGACAAGGAAATCCTTAATTATAAGGCAGAGGTAAAGTAGCACTCATCCCATTCCTTCCCTTATTTGGTCATGGGCTATCTAATGCCCTTTTTTCCGGCCAATGAGAATAATCCATTAGAATTCTTCTGTTCATGGAGATGCATGAAAAGAAAAAACCCACAAACGAGAACAAAAAGACATATGAGTAAACTCAACTAAGAAATTTATAATAAAAAAATAGTTAAGTATTTGCCTCGCCAGGATTCCGTAAGCATCAGAACCACCACTTTTCGACCAAACTAGTCGCTTATTATGTGCATGCATGATATCTAATATTCTTGTCCAAAAGTAAAAAACCTACACCTTAAGTTTAACATCTCTAGCACAACTGCACTGCATGTCACTAGATCAAATCACAAACTCTTTGATCCACATCAAAGAATTGAGATTCAGAAGTATTAGAACATTTTGTTTCTGTATAGGATGA